TTTTGGGCAACCCCAAAGACTTCAGACGCCTTAAACGTTATTAACCATATGACTTTGTTTAAAAATTAGTTTTTAAATTAGGTTAAGGAGTCACCTCACTGGAGATGTCACTCCACATACGTGTATTATTTATTAATTGTTAGAAAACTATTTTTCATGTACAATTATTGTAAAATATATTTATAAAGATAATTCTATCGTTTAAATAATAAAGTCATTTGGTAGTTAAAAAAAAAAAAAATATATTAAAACTATAAACAAATCTGCAACATTGTTCTGTATAAGATATCATAGCAAACTATCAAATCATCCAAACAATCTAACTCCACTTGATACTATAATACTTCCCTACAATCCAACCTGACAACTTAAGTATATCTGGTGCAGAGATCAACTAATAATTAACTGAGAAAAAAAGGAAAGGGAAATAAATCAACACATTTATATTACTTATATCTAACATTCTATAAAACTGTACTATTAATGTGAGGAGCTCTAAAGTAACCTATACATTTATGTTAATCNATTTTTTTCAGCTCTCACCGAACGGATTTCTTTCAACGATACGTCAAAAGATCACAAATCGTATCTAGTTGAAGACATTACCCTTCAAAATTGAAAAAATTTCCCTCGTTCCCCGTAAATGGGGGAANAAAAAATTTCCCTCGTTCCCTATAAATGGGGGAAACCTCCAAAAAAATTACAAATTTAAAAAAAGCTAATTTTCGAAATTTTTTCAATTTTTTTTACTAAAAACTGCCGTAANTGAAAGTTTTTCAATTTTTTTTACTAAAAACTGCCGTAACTTTTTCAAAAATGAACATATCAATATAATTTTTTTTTTTATAGATGCTTGATGTCTTTACCTATCATTTGGTATATTTTTTTTGTAAATCTGACACTTAACCTGCCCACAGGGGGGGATTTAAAATGACAACTTTTTCACAAAAAATTAACTTTTTCAACTTAACTTTTGAAAATGTTCCGGAAGGTCTGACACTTTTATATATATCTTAAATTAAAGCTAATGTAATGTACTTTAATTTGAAAAAAAAAAATTTGACCTCTGGACTTGTCTTCATGGTGAAAACGGCTACCGAATGCTATTTTTGTGTGAAAATTTTCGATTTTATAATTTACATTTTTTACTTAATAATGCTATAACTTTTTAAAAAATGTATGGATCAATACAATTTTTTTATGAGAAGTAGTATTTATATACATCTTTCATTGGATATACTTTTTTTTTAA